GACCTGAGTTCGAATCCCCAAAACCTACATAAAATCAGACACAGTAGTATGTGTCTGTAAGCCCAATGCTCCAAGGCAAGATGGGGAAAGGAGATGGGAGAAACCCTGGGAAATCATAAGCCGGCTAGCCGGGCATACTCATTGGTGAACAATCAAGAGAAGACTAAGCCTCAAGACAGAAGGCAAGTACTGACACCAGAAGTTGTCTTCAGACCTCCATATACACACATGGCAAAGCCCTCACAGGCCCTGTTCATACACACATGCATGCACACACACAAAGCAGGCCCTGACCACAGTTTGAGCCTCAGGGAGACAGGAGGCTGACTTGCTTTCTCCAAAGCCTCTTTTCCATCATTCAGAAAGTAAACATAAGCATATTTGCCTCTCAGGTGAGTGTAAGAATATTGTGAGTTCAGGCTTTCATTTGCCATGCATTCCTTCCTCAGTGCCAGCCTCTCCTGGAGGCCCTGAGGACAGAGCTGTGAACAGGATGGGCCAAGTTCTTGCCTCTGAGGAGTCTGATTCTCAGTCAGGAGCTCCACAGAGAACAGCACTCAGTAAGTGCTCGATGGAACTGAGGGCATAAGAAGGCAGGCTGGTGGGGACAAGGAAGACTCTCTCTGGCATTAATTCTCTGGTAGACAGTTCTCTGGACAAAAGAGAACACTAGGTCCCTTGGGCTAGGCCCCCACATTCTCAGGAAACTCCTCAGTGGCTGCTTGAGCTGCTTCCCCAAAGCAGCGAACCCTGTGCCCCAGGAATAGTTTGTGGAAGCAACTGAAGGGGCCTTTTTTCTTCTCGAGGGGCCCTCCATGCTGCCCTGTCCCTTTTGGCCCTGCCTCTTCAGCTCAGCCCCACCCGCTTCCGGGCACTTTCCCAGCCTGAGCCAGGCATGAGCCTGTCTTGGAGGTGCTCCCAGCTGTCCTGATGTCCCCTTTGCCTTCTATAGACACTCCCCCTTCCAACCTGCAGGCCTCCTCTGGACACCAGCCCCTCCCCCCACTTCCAGAGGTGTCCCCAGACATCATCCCTGTGCTATTCTTTTTCCCTTCCACTGTGGCATCAAATGTCAAACAGGCTCTGCTGGGCACCAGAGGGGTGGGTTTTTGTTATTGTTGTTGTTGTTATTGTTGTTTTGTTTGATAACTGTGGCTTAGGTAAAGGTCTAGTAGCCTAGGAGGGCCAGATGGATTTTTTTTTACCATGGTCTAGCTTTGTCCAAGTAAAACCTGTTCCTCTCTGGGCCTTTGAAGGGGAGGTGGTCTCTCTGCTTTCACTGGGTGAGAAAGATGATTATCAGGAGACCCTGGCAGGGTGGCCCAGGTGTCAGCAGCCAACCCCAAAGACTGACTGCCTTCCAGGTGGGCTCTGAAAGAGGAATTCTGGAGTACAGAACAGCTACACACATCAGAACTCAGAGAAACCTTCCTCCTGTCCTCACTTGCCCCTAAGTGAGCCAGCAAAGCTGGCACAGAACAGTGGGACACAGGCTCTGGCGGGCCCTGACAGCTCAGCAGTGGTGGCAGCCCTGGTGGCAAGGGCTATTCTGAGAGCTGGGAAGGGCTGAGATGGGATAGGATGCAGTGAGAGGAAGCAGTTCATACGGGCCAGTATGGGGGGTGTTTACTGAGGCAGGTGCACTGGGACAGTTGTGTAGTAAATTCTTGGCCTGGGGAGAAGTGGAGCAGCTGAGGTATTGAGGAGGCTGCTGTCATTATTTGGGTACATATGTACAAGTGTTAGTTATAAAGTTGTGTGGGCAAGCACATGGCATAAATATACAAGTGGACAAGTGTGTGTGCATCAAAATGCACGTGTAAGTCCATGACAAGGAAGCTGTGGAAGCAAGTGTGCCTGTGTATGGAAGAAGGAGACAGAGAGGTAAGCAAGCAGGAGCTTGTCTGAGGGCAGAATGGATGTGGGAGTGAGTGGCAGTGAAAGGATGCTAAGCTGGAGAGCTAGCATGGGGGAGTGGAGTGGGGGAGAGCCAGTGGTCAAGCAAACTATGGGAAGATAAGGGTGATGTAACTAGATCTGGAGTGTAGGGCATGCAGCAAGTGTGCACATGAGTGAGCCAGTGAATGTGGGTTGAGGTGTGCTCTCATCATAAGAGCAGTTGAGCAGAGTACATGGGTTGGGGAAAATAGGAAGGGAAAATACACACGAGCAATAATAATCAAGACAGCATTTCTTGGTTGATTCTGAGCCTATTGCTTGGAATCTTATTTCATACTTCAAATGTCCTGCTAATACAGTATGATGATAATACCTGCTGACAGGGTAGGAAACCGGGCTTTGAGCAGCTAAATGACTTGCCATACTCCTTTAAACTGTTGTGAGACTGCCTGCCGATGAGTGTGTGAGCAGGGGCCAGCCTGTGAATGAAAAAGAAAGTCAGTATGTCCTGGTGGGTTATGTTAGAGTACTGACTGTGCCAGACACAGGCCCCAGAGGAGAGGTCAGGAAGCAGGGGAGGCCTCTAGGCAGGCAGGGGCAGATCAGAGCCTGAGTCAGTCTCTGGGCATTTCTGCCAACCTGGTTTCCCAGCTCTGCAGTGGCAGCCCGTGCCAGAGCACCCAGCTAAGTTTCTTCCGGCCCTAGTATGGTCCCCAGCAAGCTCCCATGTTACACTCAGAGCCAAGCCTGACCTCAAGGATGGCAAGAAGCTTGCCTGGCCTCCAGGGAACACAAGAAGCAGGCCCAGTGTCGGCTCCCCAGACAAGAAGGGCATCTGTGTACTGTGGGAGTTTAGCCCTGCATGGCGCTAAACAGAACCACCCGGAGGGTGTGCATATGTAAGGGGGCAGCCCACAGTCCCCATGGCCACCCTTGACATTGGCATGTGACTCATGCTGATGCCATGCCAGTCATCTGCAAAGATGGGCCTGCTCCAACACTGAGGAGGAAGAGAGGGGGGTTGGAGGGGCAGTGAGGGGAGGTGGGAAGGCTGCAGCTCCAACCTTGCAATCCAAGCCTTACTTTCACCCTTGGCAGTCATCCTCTCCCTGGGTTTTAATCTGAGGGAAGGAAGTTGTTTAGAGTGGAGGCTATCCTCTTGGTGAGAACAGTTTTTACACTGCTCAGAGAACTCTACCTCTCTAGTTCCTCCAGGAGGGGGTTAAAACTTGGAATTCTAGTGCTGGCCATGCTAATTTTGGTAGCTTGCTACCCCCCTCTGGGCCTCAGTTTCCTGATTGGCAAAACAGAATGCTGTGCCAAAGGGACATGAGGGTTTGCTGGCAGGGCAGCAAGTGGTCTGGACAAGCAGGGAGTAATAGCCAGGCATGTCTGGGAGCTGGAGTTTGAAGAGGTGTCAGAATTAGATGGATGTTTAAGCTGAGTTTTGGTGGAGGCCTTGTGGATGGGAATGGGTGATTCTAGGCATACATACGGCATAGCCTGAGCAAAGGCTGGCAGATGGAGTGGTGACTGGAGACTTAGCCTCCTATACCCTTTGGGATGAGGTAATGGACTGCATAACCTCTCAGGAACTGCTCCCTCTGCGGTCACGTGATGATGGGATTAACATCTGAGTCTTCCACTAGTCTATACAGTAGGGACCTCATTTATCTCCGTTTGCTGTTCTTGCCATATAGGGCCCTGGAAGGAGACAGGAGTAACGAAGATGCTCAATAAATAAATACCCACTAAAAGAATTAATTTACTTGCCAAAACATTCTGAACTTTGGGGGTAGGCACTTGTTCCAACAGCCCCTTTGGGAAGCTCCCACATACTGGAAAATAGTGATTTGTAAAGTTGGGTCTCTAGTGCCTATGAGCTTTCTAGAAATGTGAAGTCTCCGCCCCAACACAGACTCGCCGCCAGAAACTCGAGGGTCCGGATCCAGGGATCTTTTTTAATAGTATGCAGGATAAACCCCACCACACGCTGAACTTTGAAAATCAAGTCTTTAAAATTGTGCTTGCAAGCACCATAAAAACCTAGGCAGCCCATCTGCACACGGTACAGGTAGAGTTGTGGCAACGCCTGGCCTACAATCCAGGAATTATCAAACCATTCCTTTTCCCTACACAGGTCCAGGGCACAAAGAGAGAGGAGAGTTAAGATCAAGGCTTGGTCTGGCTGTTGGAAGGAAGACTTGGAAATGTAAGGGGTCTAGAAACAGAGGGCGGGGCATTTCTGGGGGTGGAAGGAGGGAGGGACCAGTGTTTTGAGCCCCGCCCCATTCCTGTTGCCCGGGGAAACCCCGGGTTGTAACAATAACCCGCTGACGCGCTCCTGGGAGGGATCCTTTGGAGCCCGTGGGCGGGGCAGTCCTGCTGTGCACCAATAGGAGCACTCGGG